GGTTCGGAGTTTAGGGCTTCAGGGTTTCGGGTTTCGGGTTCAGGGTTTAGGGTTTAGGGTTTAGGGTTTAGGGTGTAAACGCGTGCCCAGGCAGTCGGAGACAAATCAGCTGCTGACGATGAGGAGTCTGGTCGGCTCCTCAGAAATATCGCAGACACACCATCAACGATCCAACTCTTCAGGACCAAATGACCAGATGACCCTTTAAAGTAATTATGCAGGGATACTATACCCTAACACTACTCTGAACCCTAAGCCCTCTTACGGTACGTTTCGTCCTGAAGGGATGCACCATCAATGATCCAATCCAGCACGGAGAGAGAAGCACCGGGCATGCAGAGTTTAGGACCAGGGAACCTTGTGGCACCAACCTCCCGTATGGTGGTAATCATTCCGAAAATCTAAAAAACCTTAATGTAGCACCTAAACCCTAAACCCTAAACCCGACATAATGTTAGAGCCCATTTTAGTAGAATAGCAAGTCCAAGCCCCGTGAGATGCCCACCCCCAAACTCTTAACCCTAAGCCCCAAAGCCCAAAGCCTAGGCCGCAACCCTCGAGCCTGGATCCTAAACCCCGACCCCCCTTAGACGGTTTAGGGTTTAGGGTTTAGGGTAAAACCCTGAAACATCCTGAAACCCTAAACCGTCGGTTGGCACTGAGATCTTCAGCGCAGAGACCGTGGTCATCAACAGGCTCAGAGCACAGCCCATGGTGATTTGTAAGGGTTTATGCACGGGTTTCTATGAGGGTTCTTTGCAAGGTTCTATAAGGGGTTTAGGGTTTAGGGGGTTCTGGGAAGGGTGTCTAGAAGGCGCCTATGAGGGTTTCTATGAGGGTTCAATCAGGGTTTCGAACGGGGCTCCTGGAAGGGTTGTATAAGGGTTTAGGGTCTAGGGTTCTGGAAGGATTTCTAGATGGCTCTTGGTTTTTATCATATATCATAAGAATCGTATTATATATCCCCCAAACCCAATCCGAATTATCAAGGCCCCTTCGACACCAAAGCTGATTATGGAGCCCTTGGGGCCTGCAAGTTACAGGCTCTCCTTTTCATGCCAGTAGATTCCGACGTCAGAGCTTGTGACAGCTACGTCCCGCGCCGTGCCGCGCACTTGAGCTGTTCAGGGTTTGGGGTTTATGGTTCAGGGTTTGTCGTTGGGAGGTTAGGGCATGAGGTTGGTCTAGAGGTTTGGGTTTGGAGCTTTTGCAAGGCAGACGAGAATCACGACGCACATCATCGTGAACTTCCTTCTCAGCCGCGGAGGAGCCAAACTCTGCAGCATAAACAAACCCCTAAAGCAGGACTATAGTACCTAGAATATGTAGCACAAAGTTTATAGACCATAAACCCTAAAGCCCTAAACTCTAAACCCTAAACCCTAAACCCTAAACCCTAAACCCTAAAGCCCTAAGCTCTAAACCCTAAACCGAGAAAGCATATACTTGAGCCCTCTGTCTGCTCAGATACTGAAATCTGCTCAGCATGCTTCGTGCATTCAGGATCTAGGTAAATTTTTCGGGTGGGTAGTTACCGTTATAGGAGGCTTATATAAGGTCTATATACCTTATGGATCTAGGTAAATTTTCGGGTGGGCAGTTACCGTTAGAGGAGCCTTATAGAAGGTCTATATACCTTATAATGGAAGCCTTATAGAAGCCCTATATACCCTAAACTCCCCACCTGTAGTTTCCCTTTAACACGAGGAGAGGTGTTCACGCAAGTGCGTCTGCGATCGCTTCATATGGATAACTCGTTCGCCACTGGACTGCAAGCTTCCGTGATGTTCTGGGTTTAGGGTTTAGGGTTGAGGGTTTAGGGTTTAGGGTTCAGTTCTGGTATGCTTAGCTTTCCAGTCACCTTTTAGTGTCTTTCCCCTTGTTTAGAATGTCCTCGGGTGGATTCGTTGCATTGCCGGAGTGTTTAAACTGAATCTATTTGTCCATGCTCATGCCTTGCATGATTGCGGTGAGCATTCCGCAGATCGCAGTCTTGCTACTATAGTCTGGGTACAAGCAGGTGTGCCGGTCGTCGACATGATAGAACTTGTCATATTCCTAGGTAGTATTAGGGAGACCCCTTGAAAGGGACCCTTCTTAACCCTACTTCTGGCTCTCTTAAAAGGGACCTTGTTGAGAGGGTCTTTCTCCGCAAGGGTCCCCCTAATATTACCTCCTAAATACTTAATATTCACCACAGTGAACATCACCCAAAATTGGCCCAGAACGTCAAACCCCCTTAAACAACCTCGATACCTTAAACAAAGGAAAGCAACCAACACCCAGACGCCCGCATCTCAGGTGGCCATGCTCTTCGGTGGACTCTGGGTCCTTCTTCTCTTCGGTGCACTTTTTGCCACTGGGTACGCATAAAAACATAAACGCATGAATAACTATATATATATATACATACCTGTTATCATGTTACAGAACATATAATATATATATATATATATATATTACATATTTTCTGTAACATGCATGTATAGTGTGACGTGTAGTACCTGTATTTTCTTTCAAATGATAAACATGCTTCGCGAACAGCCTGGCTACTTGAAGCCGCAGTGACATTGCGATCGTGCACTTCTATTCTAGTCGTCTAAGTCTTCTAGACACTTCTGCAGCTCGTGTTCGGATGCCGGAGCCATATACGATGTGGCTCTGATTACGGGTATAACCTGCCTTGGCCCTAAAGCCTGACTGATAAACCCTAGACGCCCTAACAAGGACCCAAGCCCTCAATCCTTAAACCCCTAAACCCTAAACCCTAAAAGCCGTTTTTCAATAATCCCTAAACGCCCTGACGAGGACCCAAACCTTCAATCCCTAAACCCTAAATCCCGAAGCTGGGGTTAAGGATTTAGGGTTTAGGGTCTAGGGGTTAGGGGTACCCCTAAACCCATTCCCGTCAGGTCCTTGTTGGACGCATCGTCATCGCCTTCTCCAACGGCAAAGCCTCCGTACACTTCTCGAACCTCTCGACTTTTGACCGAAGCTGTGAGGGCCTTTACGGGCCGTACACCATAAGCCCTAAACCTCTAAACCCTAAACCCCTAAACCCTACACCCTAAGCACCTAAACCCTAAAACCCTAAACCCTAAACCCCTAAACCCCACACCCTAAACCCCTAAACCCTTAAACCCTAAACCCTAAACCCTTTCAACTTAGGTTTCGCAGGGCTCGACGGGAGTTTTTATAGGGTATCGTGGGGGGTTACACGGTTCTAGAGGGTTTTTCAGACTTCTATGAGGGCTCACGAGGGTTCCTGAATCCAACTGAAACTTAAACGCAAACCCTCGACTCTAAGGTTTAGGGTTTAGGGTTTAGGGTTTCGGGTTTAGGGTTTAGCCAACAGTGTCGCTCTAAAAGCACCTTGTTCGGGTGTCATTATAATACGGGTCCTACTGTTCAGTCTCTCTCGCTCTCTCACTCTGTCTCGAGATAGTTATGTATGTGTATATACATATATACATATACATATATATATATATACATATATGCACACATACATACATACATACATACATACATACTTACATACATAAATACATACATAAATACATACATTATGTGGGTCTCTTATCCCTGACATTTTCATAATTTTTCAGATATATAGATCGTAGTTACAACATGGTGGGCCAGGTGCGAAAAACATGGACAGAGAAGCAATGTCCAACCGAATGAGGTTCATGGTTGCACAGGTGCACAAAGCTGGTGCTACTCACGGTTGCCAGTCATGGTTTTCCATTAGCCTGCCCCCTGACACCTTGAGGACGTATGTCCAGTGGAGTATCGTGTCTTGGCTGCGTGGACAGGGGCTTTGGGGCACTGGTCATCTTGCTGGAAGTCTCTACGCGTCTCTTGCGAAGCCACATCCCAACGAAGCAGCACAGACCCATTTCCGTAAGGTGGCAATAGGCCTCGTGGTCGTGCCTCTCGGATGCACCCGCTCCAGTTCTTGGATCCGGGTCAAGTTTGGTCATGTGTGGTAGGGCAATCTCCGATTGCAGTTCAGGCGAACACAGCAAAGCACAACCGTTCGTACGTGCTACATCTTGTTTTCGAGATGTAGGTCTTGGGGTTTAATTGCAATGATTGTGGTTGCTGGCATTCGTTTTCTTCCGTTTGTTCCTTTAGCCGGTGAAGGTACTCTTGACAGTGATTCCCCAAGAATACAGGAGCCTGACTCATTAGTCATACTTATTCCTTTCAGAGTTACGAGTCAGTTACGAGTCTAGTCCTAGCACAATGTGGGGGTTTCCGAAAATAGGGGACCCTAATTTAGCACCTTAAATAGTAGGATCCCTATTATAAGGACCCCAAACTAAGGTACCCCTAGTTTCCCGAAACTCCCATGTATCACCCTCTCGTCCAAGGAAAACCTATTCTAGCTAGAACTAAAATACGGCTAGTATATTAGTTGCACACTACAATCCCCCCCCCTGCCCTTTTCAAGAAACTGCCCCAAATGCTAAACCCCAAACAACTAAACCCTAAAACCCTAAAACCCTAAACCCTAAAACCCTAACCCTAAACCCCTAAACCCTAAAACCAACCCTAAACCCTAGAGTGCTTGAGCTCTTCAGGCCCGCATCTTATTGGCCTGCCCACAGGATTCTCACTGGGATGGAGCGATGGGAGATGCTTCGTGCAAGAGCTCTCCTGGATGCACCGGTGCAGCACTTGCGGGGCTCGGGCTTCATGCTTACGGTTTCGAGTTACACATGTATGTGTATATCTATATATATATATATAGGAATAATGAATGATACAGCTCCTTGGGGTTCTGAACGCCAGTTTTGCACAGCTTCTTGCAGGGTTCAGGGGATTGTTTTTTTTTTTTACGGAGTCGGCCTTCATCTGGGTGTGTAAGAGGTTGGGTTAGACCTAAACCCCAAACCCATTCAAGGGTTCCGGAGTTCCGGATTTTGCGCCCAAAGGCCGGGAGTTTCAGAGTTAGTGGGCGTTAAGAGATTTAGGTGCTATGGCGGATGGAGATAGCATGAGATAAGCCAAAACCTACTCCCGAAACCGCTAAACCCTAACCCTTTATGATACAGGCAGGATAGCCTGCCACACTTTAAACAAACCAGCTTTATGATTGCACACTGGATGCAGGCATTGCCTCATTGAAGGATTGCGGGTTGCGTGCAGGGCCGGGGATGGATCCAAGGAGTCCTGCATTACCTTTAGCACCTGAAAGTATTCCTGGGCCTCCAGTCACCTAAACCGTAGGTTACAGGTTACTAATACGGTTACGAACCACCTGGAGCCCTAGATTAAGAGCAGCCTGCTTTGCGAGATTCCTGCTGACGGATAGCGCATGACAATGGTCCCCATACGTTCAGCAACTGTTCATGTGGTTATCAGCCCCAGGACTATCTCGAAATGCGGCCCGGAACCCTAAACCCGAAAATCTGCAAGTAATACAAGGACCCTAATTAAACCCCGAACCCTGAACCCCAAACCAGAAACCCTAAACCCCAAGCCCCCAAGCCCGAAGCCCAACAAGGACTATCTCGAAATACGGCCCGACGTGAGTGCGGTGGAGCTTCAAGACTTCGACATCAGTTGGTTCACGAAGCTGCACACCGTGATCTACTGGGCCTCCAAGGCTGATGGCCACTTGATTCCTTTAAGGGTTGAGCGGTCTAGGGTTCGGGGCCTAGGATTTGTGGTTTATGAGGGGTTTCCGTTAAGGCTTATAGCCCTTAATGGAGCCCTTACCCAAGAAGGAACCCTTCTCTCTAAGGTCAATAAGGGATCTATAAGGGGACTAAACCCTAAAGCCTAAAGCCTAAACCCTAAACCCGATACCCTAAACCCTAAAGCCTAAACCCTAAACCCGAAGCCCTAGAAGCTAAAGCCTAAACCCTAAGCCCGAAACCCTAAACCAATGTTAGGGGCGTGGCGTCCTGCCTCTCATAGGCCTACTATGGGTTTATGGCTTGTATCAAGGGACTACAGGAGGGATTCTTAAAGGGATTATTGGGGTGATATAGGGGGTTTATGAGACTATATAAGGGGTGTATAAGGGTTTTATAGGTAGGGTATTAGGATTAGGGGTCCCTTCTAGGGGTCCCTCCTATTGTCCCTTAATTGTAGGGCGAGCAGTTAGGATGTGGGGATCCAGAAGACAGCCAGAAGCGGAAGCACGGCTGATAGCAGGAAGTCAGAGGTCGCAGCAACTGTCTTTCCGAAACCTCTTCCAGGGTTTAGGGTTTAGGGTTGAGTGTTTAGCATCATCACCATCGCCAGCACCACAAGTTGTTAGTCGTCTTCGCCATAGCCAACAGCATCATTATCAGCCACAGCGGCATTACAACACCATCACCATCATCGCCGTCCAGTGATCCTATCACAGTCGTCGTCGTCGTCGTCATCGTCATCGCCCTCCTTGTCCCTGTCCTCAGTCTCACAAGGCTAGTATTGCTTTTCTGCCAGAGGGAGACTACGACGTAGTAAGACGAGTCTGGACTTCTACTAAAGTCTTGACACCACTGCTGGAAAGAAATGCTCTAAACATCTCTAAACCGTATCTGTTGCTTATCTGCTGCTTTGCTCGTGAATCCCTGCTTCGACTTCAACCCTAAACCCTAAACCCTAAACCCTTAAACCCTAAACCCTGAAACCCTAAACCCTTAAACCTTAAACCCTTAAACCCTTAAACCCCTAAACCCTAAACCCTAAACCCTTAAACCCCTAAGCCGACTTAGGCGACTTGGTGATCCTCATCTCGCTCTTCCACATCCTCCTGCTCTTCCAGTTCCTGGTCGCCTCGAAAGGGCAGCCGCGCCTGGCCCTGCGCCTCTGCCGGTTTAGAGTTTAGGGTTTAGGGTTTAGGGTTTAGGGTTTAGGAGGGCCTTGGACCCCAGACCTTATAAGGGTTCCTTTAAAGGGCTCCTATAAGGGTACTATAAAGCTTTGAGGCTTCAGGGTTTAGGGCTTTATAGGATTTAAGGGTTTGGGGTTTATGGGTTTCGGGTTTTAGGGTTTAGGGTTTTCGGGTTTAGGGCTTAAGAGTTTAAGGGACTAAGGGTTAAGGGTTCAGGGTACCATAAACCCGAAAAGTCTAAACCGTAGGCCTTGCCCCCTAAACCTAAACGCCCAAAACCCTGCACATTCTCTGTGGAGTCCCGCCCCTCAAGCCGTTTCCTACTAAGCCCCCTCCCCCTAAAGGCTCATACCACATCCCTTTTTTTGGTCACCTAACTTTTCTATATCACCGACCCTAACCATAAAATTAGGTACCTTCAAAATGGGGGTAGGGTATGACCCTCTAGGTTTTTCCTTGCAGTTCAATCCCCCGAACAGTTCCGGCCCGGCTTCCGCCTTAATGTAGGGGCCTTATAAGAGTAGCATAGGGTTTTTGGGTCCATTATACTTTAGCTTATTTATAAGGAACCCCCAAAATAGTATTGGGAATTATGGAGGCCCCTAAACCCTAAACCCTAGACCCCTAAACCCTAAACCCCTAAATCCTAAACCCTGAACCCTAAATCCCTAAACCCTAAACCCCTAAACCCTCAAGCCTGCGCCTCTGGTTCTTTCGTGTTCCCCAGGCTCGCGAACACCCTAGAGATGGCTTTCCAAGACATTCTGCACTTGCCTCTCCGCTGAAAGACAAATTTGGGGGTTTAGGGTTCAGGGACGGGTCCTAGGGTTTTTATAGGTTTTAAGGTTTAGGGTTCAGGGACCCTCAGGTTTTTAGAGGGTTTAGGATTTAGGGTTCAGGGACCTTAGGGCTTTGGGTTTAGGATTTAGGGTTTAGGGTTCAGGGACCTGAGGGCTTTTATAGGGTTTTAGGTTTGAGGAACAAACTGCCACAGCCTAGAGTAGCTGTACTAGATAGCAGTTAGGGGGACGAACTATACATATGCAGATGCATACCTGTACCCATACCCGTTGCCACACCTATATTTATAAGTTTACGGATGCGATATTACCCTAAACCCGAAACCCCCCCAAAACCCCCTAAACACACCCTAAACCCTAAACCCGAAACCTCGTAAACCCTCGGACCCTAAACTCTGAACCCAGCTCTCCTGCTAGTGAGAAGGCAGGCGCCTCCTTTTCGGAGTCGTCGCGTGTTGGCTTACAAAGGTTTCTTGAACACAAGGGTTCGGGTTTGGGGTTTAGGGTTTAGGGTTTGGGGTTTGGGGTTTAGGGTTTAAGGTTTGGGGTTTAGGGCTTAAGTTTTAGGGTTAGGGTTTAGTAGCGTTTAGGATCGAGGATCGAGGGTTGAGGTTTGGGGTTAGGGTTCCGGGGTTTGGGAAGGGGGATGGGATCCCCATGGTGGTTCCTGAACCCTAAACCCTGAACC